GTCCCTGCCAAGGTCCTTCCATCCCGAATCCGGCATTCTGTGATTTTCCACCGTCACCGTGTTCCGGCCGTGCCCCGCGTTCCTCCGGCCGGGCTGCGGAGCCCTCGGAGGGGCCGCTGCTGTCACCGGGAGCTTCTGGCTGTGTCCCCACCCCGGTGTCCCTTCCCCGGTGTCCCCGCTGTCACCGGGAGCCTCTGGCTGTGTCCCCACCCCGGTGTCCCCTCCCCGGTGTCCCCACTGCCACCGGGATCCTCCGGCCGTGTCCCCTCCCCGGTGTCCCCGTAACCATCGGGAGCCTCTGGTCGTGTCCCCGCTGTCACCGGGAGCCTCCGGCTGTGTCCCCTCCCCGGTGCCCCCTCCCCGGTGTCCCCTCCCCGTTGTCCCCGCTGTCACCGGGAGCCTCTGGCCGTGTCCCCTCCCCGGTGTCCCCTCCCCGGTGTCCCCACTGCCACCAGGAGCCTCCGGCCGTGTCCCCGCCCCGGTGTCCCCGCTGTCACCGGCAGCCTCTGGCCATGTCCCCTCCCCGGTGTCCCCTCCCCGGTGTCCCCTCCCCGTTGTCCCCGCTGCCACCAGGAGCCTCTGGCCGTGTCCCCTCCCCGGTGTCCCCGCCCCGGTGTCCCCGCTGCCACCCCCGAACCCACCCCGTTTGTGCTTTCCCAGCGCCGCTCGCAGCCTCGCTGACACCCCCGGGTGACAAACGGGGACTCGGGACTTCCCCTGGCATCACCCCGGGCACCGGGAGCTGCCACAGCGTCCTCGGCTCCGCTGGCACCGCGATTTTCTGCTCCGGTTCTCTTTTTGAAGCCGAGAGGATCAGAAGACTCCTCGCTCAGAACAGCGGGTTTTCCTCACGGTTTGTCGGTGCCGCCGGGTTTCTTCCTTTTTTTGGGAGCTTTGTGATCAGCAGAAGTCAGCGAAGAAGGAATTGTAGGGAAAAGCGGAGTTCGGTGCTAAAAATTGAGGAAAAGAGGAAAAAAAAAAAGAAAGAGGAGAAGGAAAAAGAGAAAAGGAAAAGGGAAAAGAAAAAGAATAAAGGGGAAAAGGGGGAAAGGGGAAAGGAAAAAAGGGGAAAAGGGAAAGGAGAAAAGTAAAAGGAAAAAGAAAGAAAAAATAAAAGAAATAAGAAAAGGAAAATTAGAAAAGACAAAGAGAAATACAAAAGAAGGAAAAGGATAAGTACAATAGGCAAAGACGAATACAAAAGAAGAAAAGGGAAAGGGGGAAAAGAAAAAAAGAAAATAAAATAAAAGATAGAATATAAAGGAAAGGAGTAGAGCAAGAAAAAAAATTAAAAAAATATTTTCAAAGGAGAATAAAAAGGAAATAAGAAAAAAATGGAAGAAAGAAGAAAGGAAACAATGATGTTTTAAGGAGGGTGACAGACTGGTGATTTCCTGCTGCCTTTCACCACGGCACAAAACTCTGCTCACCTGGGCCATCAGATGAGCATCATCACTTAAAAACAGCCTGGAGGAGGGAAACAGCCCCGTTCTGRTGATGCCAGCAGAGCCCCGGGGGGTGAAAATTCCTGGAAAATCGGAAGAGGTGTGCATGGAGAAGAATTAAACTCATCTGAGTCCTGCTGTGTCTTCGAGGAGCTGGAGCTGCGCTGGGAAGGCTCTGGAAA